TATGTATATAAGATAATCCAACTTATCAAGACTTGAAAGGCTGTCTAGGCCCAAACCTTTTTTACAAAACTTATAAGGGCCAAATCTTCAAACCTTATTTTAAAAAAAATTTTAAAGTTCAAACTTTTATTTAAACAAGTGCTTAGGCCTAGTCATTATTTTTGACTCTAGTGGAGGGTTTTATGGATCATAACTATATTAGCCAATGTGTTGTATGTCACAATAAATTAGTCTCCGAGGGAGAGAGCGATGACCCCTTGACAAAGTGGTATCAAAGCTAGACCTAAATTTGTCTAGTTGGCGTGCCACCTGTGATGAGAGGGTTACAAATTGGCCAGAGGAGTTGTTATGTCTACATCGGAAAGACTTAAGAAGGGTTTGGGTTATTTGCACACCCCAAAATAGAATAATAGCCCAATAGCAACAGTCTTCAAATCATTTTTTTAGAGAATTATTTTAAAGTCCTAAACAACACAATTAAATATTATAAAGTTCATCAACAATCATGCAAAAGAAAATTATAACTATTTTAATTGACATTTTTCTTTACTAAAATATCAATGAACTTTATTGTATTTAAATGTATTGTATGAAACTTGTATGTAATTTTTCTTTTTTTAGAATGATAATCAGGTTAATGAATTATTGACAGTCAAGTCCCCAACAAATTTTTTTACAAAATGAATTATAAATATCAATTCAAATAATTATAAACAGAAATTTAAAAGTTATATCTGATATTTAAATATTTATTTACAATTGAAACTTATGCATTTGTAATAATTCATATCGATATTTTTAACTTATTTGTAAAAAAATTATTAAGAATTAAATTGATATTAATTCAGTATTTTAAGATCTAACTGTAATTGCCCTTTTTTTTTATGTCTTGAAAAGAACATTTGGCTTAAGATGTATTCATCCCACCTCTATTACAAAATACAAATGACTATCTCATTAGCTATGCTATTAATTTTATGGAAAAAAAATCAATTTTACTCATTTTTGAATTGAAAATTTTAAAATTTGTATTACATTCTTTATTATAATTAATAAGTCTAAATATGAATAATATTAAAAAATAGCAATTGATATCTCATCAAATACCTTATATAGTTATATTAAAAATTAAAAAATCATTCCATAAAGCCTCTTATAACAAGGACTGATAGGATAAGAGGGGGTTTTTTTTTTTTTTAAAGGAAAATATCATCCAAGGACCATTGAGGTAATTTGATATTAAATAAGGACCAAAAAATTTTAAAATATCACTGCAAAATCAGGGGACTGGTTTGAAAATGATTTTAGATGAGAAAAGACTGAAATACCCCTATTTTTCTTATTCTTTTTTTAACTTGTCAATTAACAAATGGTTTCTTATTTAACGAGAATGAATACTTGTTAACTAATAAACAGCTATTCCTTTCATTTAAAAATGTAAGGCATTTTTTAAGAAATTGGATGTTTAAAAATGTAAGGTATTTTTAGTCTTTCGAGGTGTAATCATTATTTTTTTCAAAAATGCCCCTATTAATAGTGACTTTATATTTATTATAGGGTAGTTAATAGAAGTAAATATAAAAAAATAGAATTAATTTAAAAGTAAGTAAAAATTTTATTGAGGGTGAGATTCGATTAAAAATACCTTATATTTTTTAACGGAGGAGTACTTGTTAAAATATGATATATGCTTATCTCTTTTGACAACCAAACTTTTTAAAATTTTGAACTTATTAATTAGTTCATGGCTTTTTGTTGAATGTAAATGCATACTTGCTAATTAACAAATAACTACTTGTTGAAACATGATCTACACTTGTCCTTGTTGGCAAAAGTGGGTAAAATCATTGTATGAATTGTGTTCAAGGACACTGTTTTTAAAAGCTATTCTGTCACACTAAATTGATTAGTGGCAACTTTCCAAAATTAAATAGACTCTTCCTACTAAAAACAAGAATATAGAACAGCAAAAATTCATAAAATAAACTCAGGTATATACGCAAATAAAGCAATGTGATAAAAGAAAAGAGAAAGGCTAAAAGCTCAAAGGCTCCTATAAAACATGCGGCAAACATTGCCTTTTATAGACAATGATCTCAAAAAATTAGAAAATAAAACTACCTTAATCACATTTAAAAATCCGTTACAAAAATAATAAAGCTAAATAAATAGATTTAAGTGGGGCGTTATAGTAATCAATATTATTAAATTATAATATTTCTTTTAAAATACTCATAAATATTTTATAATATCCAACAATCCACCAAATATTTCAAAATGAAGGAAATTTTTTTGAAAAACTATCTTATACAAATAATTTGTTGAAAAATTGCCTAGTACCACATCTAACTCATGCACAATTGTGTGTGAGATTTCATTTCTTCTCTAAACCCATTTATTAGCCCAAAATTACATTTTAGTATTTATAAACTAAGGCCTCCATTCATTTAAACAACATGAGACTTAATTTTTTGACACAATTGCAACAATTTCCACATATGTCAAAAAGATCATTGTCATCTAAGTTATTCACATAGAAGATGATCACTTTGAATGTGGTGTCTTTCGACTTGAACCTAACCTAAATTAATAAAATTTAGCACGCAAAAAAGTTAGTGTAACATTGTTATTGAACTAATAGATCTTAATCATATACCAGAGGTCTTATTAGTTGAATTATACCCTTACAATTTTCATTGTTAATGATGGTTTTGCACGTTATCAGCCATGTGCGCGTTTGGTTTTAACAAATGCTCCAAAGATTTTGCCACGATCTCATAAAAGTGGCCTCACTCTACATTCATATAAGTAATGTCATCAAGTATATCTGTAATGAATACACCATCTAAAAAGAACTATGAAAATTATTAAGAGCTTTAGTACAGCCTCCGGTCAATGCATTTTAGCAAAACTAATAAGTGACTTATTCTTATCCATTAAACTTTCTTAATAGGATCTCCAATCATAAAGGTTGAGTTAAAATTACCATTAATTTCAAATAGGCTTAAGTCCTATTTTCCTTGACATTTTAATAATGAAAATCATCCTCAAGGGCTAGTTAATGGATCCGTTAGATTTATATATAATCCCACACAATTGATTGAGATAACTCCCTTTTTTTTAGCATGCTTAATTATAACTTAAACAATGTCATCTAATGCCATTGTTTTCTTTACAATAGCTATTGTCATTTGACAATCACAAATCATCGACATGGCTTATATCGGTTTTACTCACAATAGAATATTTACTAAGAATTTTTTTAATTATTTAGCGTCATTATCAACTAACTTTAGAGTAATAAAATTTGGCTCACATGATAACTTATTTAAGTACCAATAGATTTTTCCTCCTCTGAATATCAAATTCAACTTACATCATTGTATTATTTTAATATAATGAAAATTTATTATATGTGATACCTGTATTTATTGTATCCCTCAAATACTTATTTGTCTCCTTTTTTATGAGATTATTTGATATGCTCAATTTCCACACAACATAACTATATCATGGGATTAACATTAATTAATGCAGTAAACTCTCTAAAATTTGTATATACATATTTAGATTGAGCAATAGAACCATCCCATTTTCATTTTTTATTTTAAAACATGTTAGTATGTATCACATGAATGCTTATCGACAAGTGTCGGTTTTATATCAAAATAATTGCGAAGAAGATTTTCTACAATTTAGCCTTCAATTTTAGGTAATACACTCTAACTTTATTATAATTGTATTATTATATTTGTTTTCATCACTATTAAAAGTAGATTATCTCTAGTGAATTTTCTCACATGAATTTGTAATTCAATTAACATTCGTATATTTTACATAACAGAAATTTATTATACACAATATCATAATTCACAATATTTTTTAAATATTTTATTTATCTCATGAAATCATAACACATTAACAAACTATTATTTAAGTAAAATTATACTAATAATAACTTAGGAGAGGATTTTAGTGTTTCAATCAGGTTCTGCTTCTTCTCTATCGTTCGTGTTCTTTGTCGTTGACTATATACCTTCTACATTCAGATTGCGCGCATGCCTTGCAACGTCATTCCTTCTCCGTCTCAGAGTCAGATTCAGAGCCAACGTCGTTCTCGTTTCATTCACTTCTCACAGTTTCGCTCGTCTTCTTCTTCATCTTCTTCACCCCTTTTCAATTAAGCTCTCGCTCGCCGTTCTGAGTCGCCGCCGCCAGCGCCCCTCCTCCTCTATACGCTCTTAAACTGTCTCGCCATTTCCAGCTTCCAGGTGTGTTTGAGCGTTTCCTTCTGCTATAATTTTTCTTCTTCTTCTTCTTCTTTTCCCGATTTCTTTCCCCGTTGAAGGTTGCCAGTTGCAGGTACCGGCGCTCTCGTTTGGCTGCGTGTGTTTTTCCTTTGCTTTTTATTTTTATTTTTTTCAGTTTTCCTGAAACTGATGAAAGCTTTGTTATGATCCCATTATTTCGATTGATCTTGCAACTCTATCATTGGATACTAGATTAGGGGTGTGTTTAATTCAGAGAGATGAGGAAGGGATTTTAATTAAAAAAAAAGGGAGAGTGATTTAAATGAATCTTTATTTAATTTTAGTTTAAGAAGAGAATTAATGATTAGTTGATAATTTTATTCTTATTAATTTTAAGTAATTTTTTTATTTGATTTATTATTAACAATATTTATGTTGTAGTTTAGTAACTATATTGTTTTAAAAATATTAATTATATTAATAATATTTTTTTAAAAAATAAATATATTAATATTATATTTTATCAATTTACTTAATGAAAAAACATTAAAATTTTAGACAATAAAAATTGTATATCAATTTTGCGTAAGGTGATAAAATTTAGTAAATTACAAGAGAGATGAGGAAAGATAATGTATAATTTTTTAATATTAAACATAATTTAAAATTTTTAAAATAATAAATAAATAATTTAGTAATACTTTTTTTTCTCTTCTTACCTTAAAAAAAATTTCAAATTGAAGGAGAAACTCCCTTTTCCTTTCATTTTTTAACCAAATAAAGACCTTTCATTTTCTTTCTTTATAAAATACCAACGGAGTAACTCCTCTCAATCCCCTTCCCCTCCCCTTAAAAAACCTCCACCCAAACACACTCAGTTTTTTTGGTATGTTTATTCACGTGAATGTAGTTCAATCTTAGAAAAAAAAAAAAAAAAAGAAGCCCGGACGGTTCGGGCTTCAGGACCAGCCCGATTAGTAATAGTGAGAACTGGGGACTGCGGATGAGCAATGATTTTAGCTTGATAAGGCCAACGCCGGCAGGGATTTGGCTTCCTCCACGAGTCTGAAGGATTTGTCTGGTCGAAGGTTAGTGGAAAATTTGAGTGTGGTTGGAGTTGTTGACTTCGATTTTCACAGATTGATGGCACTCCGATCCACCTGACTGAAGATGAAATGGTACTAGGCGACTGGTGATAGTTTCCACCTCCAACTGCAGCGAACGAGTACAAGAAATTAGGCCTTGTAGCCGTGCTTTCGCTTACTTGATTACTGGGAAGACGAGGTGGTTCGGAACGAATCTTGCACGTCAACGGGCAGTTGTATAAATAGCTATAAAAGAGGAAGCAGAATCAAAAAGAGGGTGAATTGTCGAAAAGCAAAGAGAGTCAACTTGAGAGAGAAAAGGAGTTAGAAGGGAAGGAAGCAAGATACCTTCAAATAAAAAATATAGAGGTAATCTCTTCTACCCTGATTCTTGCACTATCATTGCTAAAACTTACATTACTGTCTCGTTGAATTTTGCTAGCAGGGTAGATTTAGGTAAATTTTTAAAATGCTTTGCTGACGGGTGAATTTGGGTAAGCGTTGAAACCGCCTGTGCCGATGGGTGTTGATATATATGAATCGAAATTTTAGTTCTCTTCATGCCCTGAATTGGACGTTGATTATGCTTAATATGTTTTAAGCTAAAAAATATCGTAATGCTCCTATGTTTTTATAAGTGCAATTTCCAGAAAAAGAAAGACTCTATGGGTGACTCATTTTATAACACAAGCGGGTTCCATTATTCAATTGCGGGGCCCCTTCATTAACAATTTTTGCATTTGCATCCATGACGTTTGAAGCTTCGTAATCGTAGGTGTGATGAGTGATTTTGTTTTGTATCATCCTTATGAAATTAAGATATATAAAAACTAGGACAATGTCTTGTGTTGTCTGTTTTTTGTGTGACTTAGTTATATCTTCTTTAATAATTTTTATTATACCTTTCCAGCAAAACATGAAAACACTGGGACTTTCACTTCAGGATAACATTCTTTCTTCACCCAAATTACTATTCAATGCCACTCCTCAAAGTCTGGCATCTCTTCCTTCGGCTCAGAAACCATCTAAGCTTGGGATGAGACGAGGTTTGACTCCCAGATTTTACGAATCACTATTGTGGGTGAATAGAAAGCCTGTTTGGAGTAGTTCTTTTCATTCTATAAGGGTGCAATGCAACCATAATGGACAATATGATGATGGCTTTTACATGAGAAGATCTGTAGAGCTTGCAAGAAAGGCAATTGGGTTAACCAGCCCCAATCCAATGGTTGGATGTGTCATTGTGAAGGATGGTGAAGTTGTTGGTGAAGGGTTCCACCCTAAAGCTGGGCAGCCTCATGCTGAGGTACCTACTTTTTTCAATTTATAATGCGTGTAGAGGGAAACTTATATGCATTGTTATATATTGAAAACGTTTTTGGTCTTCCCTTTAGTGAAATATTGTCATATTTTAAACTGGTAAAATGAATTTTACAAATTATGATGTGAGAAATTTAGGAAACTAATGTATAATATTATGGAGATCTTGCCTTAATTGTGATTCTTTTCTGGAATTTACTCAGAACATCCTTGTTTGGTGCTTAATTTGTCAAGTCTGGGTATAAATTAGGTGTTTGCTCTGAGAGATGCGGGTGATTTGGCTGAGAATGCCACAGCATATGTGAGCTTGGAACCTTGTAATCATGTGGGGAGAACTCCACCTTGTACTGAAGCTCTAATTAAAGCCAAAGTGAAAAAAGTTGTGGTTGGAATGGTGGATCCAAACCCTATTGTGGCCTCCAAAGGGGTGCATAGATTGAGAGATGCTGGAATTGAAGTTGTTGTGGGTGTAGAGGAAGAATTATGCAAGGGCCTCCTTGAGACCTATACTCACCGTATGTTGACAGGAAAGCCTTTCGTTGCTTTAAGGTAATTTAATTCCACCTCTATCAATTGGTATTTTTGCTTAATTAAAAGAAGTTTTGTGGGTGCACATTGGCTCATGAAACCTTAGGGGCATCTAGGCCACAAACCGGAAAACTACTGGGCCATGGTCAGGCCTTCTTTGGATGCCCAACTTCCCACTGATCAGTTGTCCGGGTTAGATTGATCCCTGGCCTCACCTATTTACACCTCTATCTATTTGATGATTTGCCTGGTTTTTTATACTCCCTCCGATTCTTATTATAAAACACTTTTAATCATTTTATGCATTTTAAGAAAAATTAATTTTTTTTCTTGATATAATAAAAAAGTGAAATGTACTTTTATTTTTATCTTTGGCTTTAAATAATAATATAACTACGTTAAATACTTTCACGCTAACTAAGAAGGAGTAAAATTGGAAAAAATGGTTTAATTATTATAACATGTCCTACATTTTGGACCAAAAATTACTTTTAGAAGTTGTCTTATAAATAGGACCAGAGGGAGTATCTTAGATGGACTTGCATTTCATAACATAGTATATTCCTGCATAGCAGATATTCCCTTTCTCTCAATGGAAACTTTCTGGACGTACTTGGAGGTACAGCTGCAGGTTGTGGCGGATACTATTCGCGGTTATTACAGGAATATGATGCTGTGGTACTTTCATCTTCATTATTTAGCGAAAACTTGCCATTGCCTTCTTCCCAGGAACCTGGAGCTAATCAACCAATGCGTATTATACTACGAAGGAATTCTAGTTCTTCAAACCAAGCTTCTTTTGTCATTAAAGAAGTTACGGGTAAAGATATAATTTTTACAGATAACAATACAACAGAAACAACCGAAATGGCTCAACAAGGAATTGAAACTGTGGCTGTTGATGAGGTAAATCTGGATTTGATCTTGGATTACTGTTATTGTCAAGGTTTGTGCAGTGTTCTGTTGGATTTGAGGGGCAGTTTCTCTGAGTTTGAAGAGCTTGTCAAGGAAGGTGTTGAGAAGAAATATTTCAACAAATTTGTGACGGAAATTTTGCCAGTTTGGAATGGATCTGTGGAGATGGATCCTCCAAAACCATTGAAGAGTTTAAAACAAGGAGTAAAAGTGATAAATCTACAGTCCAAAGCCTTAGATCAGAGTGTTGTAATCGAGGGATATTGTAGATTTGATTAAGCTGCCATTTTAGTTGTTGAAACTTGAAAGGTGCATGTTCCATCAATTCAACACATAAAAATAATTAATTACCTTCAAATCAATCCTTACTGAACAGCAGATCAATTTGATCCTGTCGCAAGTTTTGTAACCTCGTGTTAATTGCATTGAGCTATAATGGATGACTAGCAACCATGCAGATGCTTGCTACCAAAGAATAATGCCACTATTCATAACAGCTATGTTCGAGAAAATTGGTTCTCATGGATATGTTTTGAATCAAGAGTTTGAACCAATCTGATAGTAATAATCTCATGTCAACGCTATTGAATTTACCAATTTTTTTTTTTTTAAAGAAAAGTCGAATACAGGATTTTGCCTGTTGCTACTTCACCTTCGGGCTGCGAACTGGCTGTTTTTTTTTTTTTTGAAAAAAAAAATTTGGGGGTATTGCTTGTAATGTACTTAAACACTTCTCACATATTTCCTTGCTTCAATGCTGTGCTCGCATGCAATATTTTTGCTTTCGTTATCTTAAAAAGAAAAACTGCCGCCTTGCCAAAAGCTTCATATTTTGCTATCAACATCCATGTCAATATATATACATGCCGAAATTTATGCTGCAGAAAATCTGTTTAGTTTGCCGTAAGAAAAAACTCCGTAGTTAAGAATCATAAACGTGAAAATATATATCAAAATCGCAAATCAAATTGGAGGAATGATATTAAAGGACAAAAAATTAAACTTAAATTAAAAACAAGAAATATAAATCTAAAATATAAATCAAAGACCTCTCCATAAATTGGTATAAAGATTTGCTACCTTCATTTTATAATTTGCAATCATTAAAACAAGAATTTGCAAGTAAAATTTTTGAATTGATATATTTAACAATTTTTTTTTTGGCAAATCATGGAATAAGAAAAACAATTTTTTATACCAATTCACACTAAAGAACATTTGATCCTCATTTCAAATTTTCAAATGTTCAAGTCCTTATTCAAGTTTAATTCAATCTTTAGTCCTTCGATGTCATTATCCAATCAAATTTTTCACAAATAAAATAAAATTTGTGAAGACGAAAGTTAACTTAAAATGGGCAAACAAGGTGTCTTTACTACAAAGAAAATGAAAACAACTTATCTCAAATTAACCTGAAAATAGATTGCAATATCAAAATATAATTACTTCAACATATCTTCCAGCAAAAAATAGCCGACATAAATGTAATGAAAATGATTAGCCTGTAAATTAAATTTCCGACAGAAAACAAGTTCCATCCATTTGCTACGAGTCATCATTCATGATATGACAATTTAGAAGGCATGGCCTATTCACCAAATAACGAGATTTGAAGATTAATTGCTAATATTGGAACTATAGGAATCATTGTTGATGCGTGTCGAACGCATTTAGTTTAGGGGGGAAAATGGTAAGCCAGGAACAACACATAACATTCAGAAGAGGAAAACTCTTCCATGATAAAATTTTCTGGTAATCATCCCTACTAAGGCAATGAATTGGTGGTGTTAGAAATGAGCGGTATAGATTGCGCAGGTTAAAATTTCTTGTTAGTCTGAGGCAAGACATGGCAATGGATGCTTAGCTCGAAATTGTTCCTTTGTGATACCATAATAGACAGCAGGCTTGCCTGGGTAGGTGATGAAATTCCAGCCAAAAGCAGATCCTCCAACAATATATGTCCCCTGCGACTGTCCATCTTCTACCTGCTGCTTCTCAAGGGCAACTGGTGCTGAAATCTTACTTTCAGATTGCCTTCCAGGTAATGGTGTTTTGCCTTCCAAGTTCTCGCCAGATGAAGCCTTGCTTTCCTGCACATTCTGTTTGCATAATTCAACCAGTGTCTTCAACTCTGCAGTCACACGCTGAAGTCAAAGGTCAATTTTAACCAGCTAAAAATACAACAGTGACTTAAGTAACGATTTTATCTCTATATTTCCAGACAGCTTTGGCTTTATTCCCCAAAAGTTCACTAGTGCTAGAACTAGTCCCTGAAAATAAATTTATTGCATGGTAGTCCTTTTAGCATCTTTTGGCTTCTGGATTAAAGCCTTGTACTGATTGCACTCACCATTAGAAAAGATGGCAGGTATATATTTGATGGCAGATTCAAGAATACACGAGGCTAAATAAAAAAATTGTTGATATTCAGATGACCAGCCCAAACCCGCATAAGACTTCAGTCACGTGCATAAAGGAGCTTATCGTTAACCTCAGCAGAACGTAACAAGCTTATCAAGAATATCACCATGTAATTCATACCAGCCAAGCCCAACTGATGAACCCAAGGATTTAAATTGCAGTCTGCAACCACAATTGCAGTTGTTGGTTTTGCACTGGCACCGATGACCACCTAAATTTAAAACCGTGGATCACTGTATTGCAGTTTTTGGTTTCGCACTGGCATCAACTACCACCTAAATTTAAAACCCTGGATCACTGTACTGCAGTTGTTAGTTTCGCACTGGCATCATCACCGCAACTACAGATTAAAACCCTGTACTAGCTTAAAGGATCTTCAGCAGAATCAATATAAGAACCCCACAACCAATTCTTTTTCCCCCACTATGTATCTATAAAATGGGGAATAGAAGGGAAATAGATGCAAAGACAATGATAAAAACAAAATTTAGTAGCATCTCAAGCTATCATAAGACTATTCCACAGCTCAGAATAATAACAAACTCATGCCATATGTAGAGATAGGGCATTGGTCAGTCATGCATTAAATAATTATAGAAAAAGATGCGCCTGTATGAGCTTACGTTCACGAATTTCATTAGATGCCTGGCACTTTTGGAAGTCAGGTGTTCGGAGTACCTACAAGATCAAATGGAGAAAGAGTCATATTCATCATATAGTATTTCAGGCACAAGAAGCCATTCCATGCACCTAGAGAAAAACAAATGGATAGGAATTACTTTAAACCATCAGAATGATTAAAAACCTGGTGCAATTATTGGATGCATACCCTTGTTAACTCAAAAGACAGACTTTTGAAGTGTTTTACAGCGAGCTAGGATCAAACCCAGGAAGATAAGCATAAATACATTGAACATTATGTAGTCAAAACATAATCTGGCAATAAACACTACAAGAGTTGAGCATAACAATAAGGTATCTTCTTAAATAAAGAGGGGGGCTTCAACAAGTAACTATTGTGAACAAATAGTTACTCACACCAACGTGCAGTTGATAAGGTACTCATTAAGAAGGGAAAATTATATTTGTAGTCCTTATAGTTTTGTTCAAGTTTTAATTTGATCCTATAGCTTAAATGTTTGTAATCAAGTCCTTAAAATTTTTTAAAAAATATTTTCATTAGCCCCTATTGTAAAATTTTGCAAGTATTTATTAAATTTTATTGGTATTACTAATTTCGTATTATCTTAATACTTCCAATTATTTTCATTTATAAAACACAAAAGTGATAAAAATAGAGAAAATAAAATAAAACTACTTGCACTGAAATAAACTTTCAAATCTAGGGACAAAATTTGAAATTAAGTAAATCTGTAGGGCCTAAAAGTATAACTTTCCTGTGTAAAATAATGAGCTGTCATCACTTCAAGTATGATTTTCACATTTTACTAATCACCACCACGCATGCCTTTTTAAACATGTGAAATAGGCATCAGCAGTAAGATACAACATAGAATAGAGATTGGATAGAGCGAAAATAACCATGATGGGAAAATGGTGAGCGAGAGAGCGCCATCACAGGTCAAAAAGATGCACCAACCCATGAATATTAGGACAGGGATGTGTAAAACCGAGATATCTTAAAATAGAAAGAAATCAAGAAGTCATGGTGAAATAGTGCAGATGCTTTCTAGGATGTCAGAAGAGATTACTGAGATCTAAGCTTGACATCATATATCAAACTTACTGAAAATGAGAGAAAATTGAATTACACGATTTGGCCTAAAGAACCTAATAATAAGGCCTACAAGGTTACAGATGTCTCAAGTTTCCCCTTGGAAGATAAGTTTTAGCACTCTGCATCCGCAGCTCATTTAGGTACAAAATACTTTTAACGGTCACTTCCACCTTACGTTCATCACTGAACAAATGCTACAGTGCTAAATTTATTCTTAGTCCTCAAATTGCTACACAACCAACAGTGCTATTTTCACAACACTCATTTTTTAGCCTTTCAACGGCACATGGTACAACTAAAACCATGCAAGAACAACTCTAAAAGATATCCAATAACTTGAAAGGTATCGTTTGGCTACAAATAAGTACAGTGCAAGTCTTTATTATCTTAAATTATCTTCGCTTAAGAGCACAAAGCATCTCCAAATATAAAACTTTGCTGTTAATTGAAAAATAATCCTGTGATTTGGATCTGATATTGGTCACCCACAAACCCATTTTCAGAAATTTGCCGGACAATAGCAGCATAAAAATGTGAGATTAAAGGCATCAACTCTCTACTATAGGCGCTAGACCTAGAGCACCAAATTTCATAGGATGAGAAGTGAATAAATTGTGCTGCTGCAGTTCTACCTCAGAATTTCCCAAGATTTATCTGCGTCTATCAATTCCGTCAACCAATAAACCACATTGAAAAATTAAATAAAAATTCTTAGCTTTCAACATATCCAGCAGTTAGATAGGTTCCGCTTCAAAACAAATCAAATCATTTATTCACTCACAAGTTTAGCGAAAGATTAAAAAAGATGGGTCACATCCCTAACATGGTATGCGCCGGTATAACCACTCTCAGGCCCTTGAGGGACAAATAGTTTATTAAATCATCCGACTTGGACCAAAATGTAAATATGAACTGGAAGGAACAAGTTCATAGGATTAAGAGTTCGTAAGGAACCCAAATAATTAAAAACAACAGAAATTGTACTCCCAGATAAGTATAATATACTCTAATTCTCAAGGTTTTCGCAAATGGTCAGCAATATACCTCGATGAAACGGGGACGAAGATCTCTGATAATAGCACGTATCTTAAATAAACGGGAATTTTGCAAGTGGGCATCACTTTCGAGAGGCCTCTTCTTGCTTTTGGGAGGAAGGGCAGCGGAAGCAGCAGGGGGAGGGGGCTGGGGAGGCAGAGTTGGAGCCGTGCTCGGTGGATCAGAGACTTGAGGAGCAGCCTGACCTTTTGATCCTTCCATCGATAATGAAGCCACTAGCCACACTGCGCCTTCTCACGGACAAAATTCGAAGTCTCGACTCTTGAGGGAGAAATGACCATGAAAGGGAAAAACGAGGATTTTTGATTGAGCGAAATGATTCCATTGTTAATACGAGGGTATATACGTATTTTCACATCTTGAAACTTCAGAAAAGGATGGTTTATTGGAATGCAAATTTCCATGATGGCTCGTTTAGTACACTTAAAATTAAGGTCAGAGAATTGAAAATGAAAATAAAAAAAATGCATGTTTGGTGTGCGTAGATTCAATCTTTATTGGAACCCATTTCTATCAAAATGGATGGAATTTGTTCCATCATTTCTCCAATAAAATTAAGTTCTATCAATCTCATTTTTAACCTCATCCTTTAACCTCTTTCTTCTTCTTTTATAAGGTGATGACTCACCTTCTTCTTTGATGATTCCATTGGCAATAAAACTTGACGGAAAAAGTTATAGTTAGTGGTGAAGCAACTGAAAAGGTAAGCTATGACACTAAAACTTTCCATTAACAATGAAACCACACATTAAAATGTTTTCAAATTGTATTGTCTCCTCCACTCTTTTTATGGCATCCCTTAATATTACTATCATTGTCACTAAGACCTTCCTTCTTCAAATTTGATTGTGTGATGATTTTTGTTTTTAATTTCCTTCTCAATCTCTAAATTTAACATCAAATACATTCTCTCTTTTATTTTTACCTTTGTTACATATCTAGATCTAGTAGATAAATATATTAGCTTTTACCTCTTCAATTTATTAGATGAATTTTGCTTCGATTTCCTCTTTAATTTCCAATCCACTCATGCAACAATTTTTTGCCTTTAATTTTTGTTTTTGATATAAATCAATTGGTTTTGATTTTTATTGATTCAGAGATTGATCAAATTATAATATCATGAGAGGGTCATCTAGGATTTGGGTGTGAGTGTCTTAATATTTAAATGTGGTTGGTCAAAGGTATGAGATTTATTAAATAGTGATGGTCATTGTTATTGATGCTTCAATTTTTTTTTTTTTAGAATTTTATCAATCCTTTAGTTTTTTTTAAAATATAAATATAACATTAAATAAAATTTTTATTTCATTTTCATTTATAATGTCAAATATACTTTTAAATTTTACTTTTACTTTCATTTTTACTCCCCCCCTCCACTAAAAACATTTCTTTGTACCCAGTGTGCCATGACCATTTTGTACCAATAAGATTTCATACTGCCAACTTTACCCTCGTAGCCCCAGAAGCAAAACGGAATCCAGCCCCCAGAGATTTCATACTGCAAAACGGTTGGCGGCCGGGAGTAGTTTTTGGGGAAGACTTTAGGGACGGAGGATCAGTGGCCGGCAGCTGACAAAATCCACTCGGACGGTGAGAACAACGTGCCCAAAACCTTGTTGGCTTTTCTGCCCCTCCGATTGCGTCCCCTTACGTCAAAATTTCTTCTTCTGGCTTTGCAGAGTGCCAACCTTGGTCCTTAGAGAAGATCCAACAAGTGATTGCCTTAGTGAGTAAAGCAGAAGGTGCGATAAAAGCAATGAATCGCATGAGGATCTGTGTTTCTCTAGGCAGCGTTGCTGCTGCATTGAGATCAGGGCAGAGGTCTATGTCGACAGCATCAAAGTCTTTGACTGGACTTGGTAGCGTAAAAAATGGCAAGAACGCCAAAGCTTCCAGTGAACTGTGCAAGTTCTTGGAAATCCCAGATCAGTCTCGGTCTGAAACCGCCTTGCTCATCTCTAAGTTTATTAAACTCAACAATTCCCGGGTTCCTATTCTCTTCCTTTATTCTTTATTATTCTCCTTCTTTTTACGAGGACAGTTTGACTTCATTGTATAAATCATTTACGTCTGCAACCTACCCAATGTTTGATGAATGTTCTCCCTCACATTTATGAGAATTTGTCTAACATTATTCTTCAATCGGTTCATATATGTCCATATCCACTTTATGTTGGCTTGCAAAATCTTTTCTTTTTATGAAATGGGTTATATTTATACTAGGAATTGACCCATTGCATTCTTTTATCTATGATTCTGGTTATAGAATCTCTGAAGTTATATTTATTCATTTAGTTGTTTAACATCTGTTGTTAACTAAGGGAAATTTTATCTTCCCCAAGTTTATTCAATCCAGAAGGTCTATTCTGTCGCTTTTGATGTTAACTTGCAGCCCATTCACAAGTATGTATTCTAGACTACAATTGATGTAGCTTTAGTAATTAGTATTATGAGATGTGATTCCCCCCAGGAGAACTCCATGTCCCGTCCCGTTTGGTTGCTAGAAAGGATGTGAATGAAGTGGATTGAGAAAATCAAAGCAAAAAATGAACTAGATTATTCTTCCTCCTTGTTGTAAGCATGATAAAACTCAATATTATATATCATAAATGTGAGAATCATCATACTCTTCAAAAATTTTATGAATGATGATTCCTAATTCCATGAATTAAATTATTTGTCGTTGTTATAACTAAACTATGGTTCACCTATCCCTCTTCACATTTTAATAATCTTATTTTTACTTTTATTTTTTCAAACCATTCTATTTCCTTCATTTCTAGCAACAAATGGGACCTATGTGTTTCATGGTAGGAGAGCTATCCTTTATTTAAGCTCGATAATGTTCGAATTTGAATTAGTCAATAGATAATATCGGACCCAAAAAAAAATCCATGTTATCAAGTATAAAACACACCATCTGGTATAGAAAATAAAAAAGAAAGTAGAAGAGAGATAGAGAAGTAGAATAGAATTGAGAAAGAGAAAGAACAAAGGAGATAGAGAGAACCAGAGGGAATTCCAGAAGAGAAAACAGAGATCTATATGAATAGTGCTAGTTCATCATGTCAGTGTGCTAATTATGATTGAGAAGGCAATCATAATATTTATAGGATTCCAGGAAATGCTAAGTAACATCATTAAAAGACATTTAAACGACCTAACTACTCTCAACAGTTAATAACCACATAAATGACCTGCGTATTTATTGTTGTTTGTACTAATACTGCCCCCCTAACACCCCCTGTCCTCGAGGGTTGGGAACTGGAAAATCTGGAAATTGATTTTGAAAATTAAACAAAGACATCTAGGTAGCTTCCTCATCAGGTTTACCCTTCCACCGAACCAAAATCTCAGTAATTACTCTTCCTTTACGCCTCTCCATCCTTTCATTTAGAATTGATTTTGGAATAAGAGTTGCTGGAACTTCTGGCCAATTTTCAGGAGGATTTCTCTTCCTAACTGAAGGATCTGGCTCAATTTTAACAATGACACATGAAAAGTTGAATGAATGCTTGATTCAGGAGGCAACTCTAGCTTGTAGGCAACCTTCCCTATCATTTCCACCACCCTATATGGGCCCAAATTACCTTGGTGCCAATTTTTGAGTACTTCATGAGGCTGTTAAAATCTGTCCATATGGGCTGAAGTTTCAGAAATACCCATTGACTGACTTCAAATTCTCAGTTAAACCTCTTAAAATCAGCTTTTTGTTTCATACAATTCGCCACCCTATCCAAATGATGCTTTAGAACATTAATCATATGCTCTCTTGCTGTAAAACTTCTATCAAAAGCTTCAACTATTGCTTCTTTAGGTAAATATGGAGCATAGATAGGTGGTTTCTGACCATAAAGTAACTCATAAGGTGTTTCTTTGGTTGAAGTGTGGAAGGTTTTGTTGTACAACCACTCAGCCAAGGGTAACCACTTGTTCCATTCTTTAGGGTTCTCCCAACACATACATCTAAGATATGTTTCAAGGCACCGCTTCAGCACCTCAAATTGCCCATCAGTTTGAGGATGGTTGGAAGAAGTAAGTTTCTGCTCCATTTTGATCACCATTAAGAATTCCTTTCAGAATCCCAATCACTAATAATCTTAGTAGGAGCCCCATGTAGTCTATAAATGTGATCCATAAAACACTGGCTTAAAGTAGCTATTGAGAATGGATGAAAGAGCCAAAAAGTGGGCATATTTCCTCATTCTATCCACCACTACCCAAATTACCTCTTTGCCATGAGATTTAGGTATGCCTTCACTGAAATCCATTGCTATGCTTTCCCAAACCTTATTAGGAATAGTTAATGGCTGTAAAAACCCTGGGGTAGCTGCTGCCTCATACTTGCAGCGAGCACATGTGTCACATCCTCCCACAAAATCCTGCACGTTCTTATGCATCCTCTTCCACCAGAATAAGCCCCTAATCTTCTTATAAGTAGCATTCACCCTGTAGTGGCCACTTTGTAGACTAGCGTGTAACCACTCAAGTGTTTGTTGTCTCACAACTGCATCATTACCAACTAGCAACTTTCCCTTCCTTCTTCAGATTTGTCCATCCCACATATATTTCCCAATACTACCTCCTTTTTTCTACACTTCAGCAATAATAGCCTTCAAATTAGCATCTGTTTCCCAACTTTCCTTAATTTTCTGGAGTAATTCAGGAGAAGTGATGTCAAGAGCCATTTGTAATAATTGAGGACCATGTGACCTTGATAAAGCATCTGCTGTAGTGTTTTCCTTCCCCTTTTTGTAGCAGATTTCATACTCATAACCCATTAGATGGGCTATCTAGTACATCTGAAAAGGAGTCTTCAATTTCTGCCCTAACAAATACTTCAAGCTTTGTTGCTCTGCTCTAGTAATGAATTTCTTCCTCTTCAAATATTGATGCCAATATTCCACAGCTTGCACCACTTCCATCAATTCTTTCTTATAAATTGATAACTTCAGATGTTGTGGTGCCAATTGCTGAAAAAAGCGATAGGTTCATAGTGGCCTTCTTGCATTAACACAGCCCCTAACCCAAAGCCACATGCATCTGTGTCTACCACAAGAAGTCTGGTAAAGCAAGGACAAGAGCTGAAACCAGCACTTCTTTCAATCTTTTAAAGGCCTTCACTGCTGTTTTGGACCATACAAACCCATGTTTCCTCAGCAAATTTGTGAGTGGCCTTGTAAACTCTCCATAATGATGAATAAAATGCCTATAGTATCCTGCTAGGCCAAGAAATGCTCTTAGTTGCTTGATGTTGACTGGTTCAGGCCATTCTAGCACTGCTGCAATCTTTTTATGATCTGTAGAAACAGTCCCGTTGCCCAAGATGTGGCCCAAGTATTCAACCGTGGTTGCTGCAAATGTGCATTTCCCTTCTCTGACATTGTAATGATTGGTCCTTGAAGCCTCCATAGAAGGAGAGTATATCAAGATATCATCAAAAAAAGCAAGGACAAACTTTCTTAAAAAAGGTCTAAAAATAGAATTCATTGCTCTCTGGAATGTGGCTGGGGCATTGGTCATTTCAAAAGGCATAACCAGCCACTCATAGTGCTTGGAATGTGTTCTGAATGCTGTTTTATAGGCATCTTCGGGCACCGTGCAGATTTGATGATATCCGGCCCTCGGATCCAACTTTGTAAACCATTTGGCAGTGTTAACCTCATCAAATAAGTCCTCAACTAGTGGAATAGGGTACTAATTTTTTATTGTCTTCTTATTTAGCTCCCTATAATCAATACAGATCCTCCATGACCCATCCTTTTTCTTTACCAAAACAATTAGGGCAGAAAAAGGTGAAGAGCTTTCTTGAATAACCCCTAACTGCAAGAGCTTCCCTACTAACTCCTCAATTACATCTTTTTGAGTTGAAAGATATTGGTAGGGCTTCAAACTAATAGGATCAGTCCCCTTTTACAGGACTATAGGATGATTGTGGCCTTCTCTCATAGGTGGCAATCCCTTGGGTTCCTCAAAAACGTTAGAGAAAACCCTTAGAACTTGCACAATCTCTATAGGTGGCCTTCTCTCATCCCTGAAATAGCAGCAGTGAATTTCTTCATTTGTTGACTTTATGAATTGCAGTTGAAACTTTTTTTTCATCCCTTTCACCCTTTGTTTCTACTCTTTTTGGTTGCACCATCATCCATGAATTGGGTGGAGTGGCTTGTAATTTGCATAGTTGATCCCCATGCCAAAAGTACGTGGTAAGAGTTTTGTAATTCCAGAATGCATTCTTGATACTTTTTAGCCATTTTAACCCTAATACCATGTCATATGTCTTGAGGTCAAGAATTCTGAAATCAAAAACGGACTCCAAGCCTTGCATTCTCCATTTAAAATTCTTCCACGCCATAAATCTTGAGTTTCTCCTCCCCAGCCACTTCTACCCAAGATATTCTCATACAATCATACTGCCAACCAAGCTTCTTGGCCATTTTCCAGATCTAAAAAATCTTTCCATTATCAATCAAAATTTGGATTTGCTTCTTGCCACAGTGTCCAACTACTCTCATGGATGATGCGCCTTTAACCCCTTCAATGGCATATAGTGAAAGAAGGGGTGTTTCTTCTTCTGCACCATCTTTGTTTTCTGGTTCTTCAATTTGAAGTTCTTCTTGAATTTCTGGCATCTCAATAAATTGCAATTGCATTTGCTGCCTTTGGGGACACTTGTGATTGGGAGAGAATTTCTCGTGGCAATCAAAGCATAAATTTTTGCTCCTATCCTTTGCTTCTTCTATAGTGAGAATTTAAGGGGGGTTAGTGTTACTTTTAGAAAGAGAATTGGAGAATTTTGGAGGTACAAATGTTAACTTCCCTTTCTGTTGGGTCCCACCACTAACAAGTGCATTCTTATACAGTGCCCAGCTGGTTTGAGAAGCTTGTGATGAAGCATTAGGTGGTGCAGCCCTGCGCGCACACCATTCTTGGCACTTGCTCATTTGTCTGCCTGCCGCTGCAAGGAGATTTCTTGCGTGCATGCCAAGGATCGAGCTTCTTGAAGGGTTCTGGGTTTAAAAAGCCTAACAGGGCCTGCATAATCTTCCATGAGACCTTTGATGTAGGCTTCAATGAGGTATTCTAGTGAAAGCTCAAGCTTGCAAGCAATGGAGTCAAACACATCACTTATCTCAGCCAAAGTTCATCATTGCCCAAAACTGCCCATTAGAGTCTCATGGGTGGGTTTGAATCTTTCTTTGAGGGCAACGACATATTGATCCCAGGTTGGGGGGGTCACACCAAACCATGTCTTTTTGATTGCCATGTGCCAAGACCAAGCCGTTTCATCAAGGCAAATACTCTCCATCTTTACCTTCTCGTCATCTGGTGTTATTGAGTTTGAAGGAACAAACACATCTCATAATCTGCCCCAAAATGTTGGACCGAGAAAATTTTGGAAACTCCATTTTCATGAACTAGGTAGGCCAATGATGTTCATCCTCTGTCTCAGGTCCTCTTCACAAAGACGATAATGGCCATTTCTGCCATCTCTGCCACAGCGTCCTTGATTAGACTAATTCTCCTCTCTGTCATGCATTAACAGTTGAATCTGATTTGAGAGGCCAATAACTTGGTCACTTAGCGTATCAACAGCATCTAACTTGGCGAGTCTTTGTTCAATCTGATGCAGTCTTTCTTCCATTTTTTTTTTTTCGTTTGGTTGCAGGTTCTCACCATACACCATCAGAACGAGAGGGGGGGGGAATCTGAGGAGAGCCTGGCTCTAGATACCACTGATATAGAAAATAGAAAAGAAAGTAGAAGAGAGATAGAGAAGTAGAATAGAATTGAGAAAGAAAGAGAAAGAACAAAGGAGATAGAGAGAATTGGAGGGAATTTCAGAAGAGAAAACAGAGATCTATCTGAACAGTGCTAGTTCATTATGTCAATGAGCTAATTACAAATGAGAAGGCAATCCTAATATTTATAGGATTCCAGGAAATGCTAAGTAACATATTGAAAGACACTTAAACGACCTAACTACCATCAACAGTTAATAACCATCTAAATGACATGCTTATTTAGTATTTTTCATATCACCATCCCTGTCATGTCATATGGCATCTGACCAACCAAATAAGACACGTAGGAGTGTTGTAGACTTACACTTTCCCTTCCCCCAATTTTTCCAGCCTATGGTAGCCATGAAAGCTCTCTTGGAATTTTTTTTTTTTTTCATCCTCCATTGACATGGTAACATACAAGCCTAACACCTCAATTCCACAACCCCATCTCAGCTTGATGCTTAAAAAATCCGGTATATGCAGAATTAATGGCAGTTGGCTTGATGGGAAATCTTGTTAAGGTCTAAGGAAATGATGGAATTGTTGGAATTTCTATCATTTATGGTGCTTTACTCTATTTGAACTAGAACATTATTATTTCTTATCTCACTTGGCAATTAAAAATACCCTGCAGAGTCCGGGTATCAAGAAAGATAAGATTTGGGAGCAGAATTTGCAAACGCTTTTACGAGGGAAAACTAGCGTTAGTTTTCCTGAGATTGCCAAAATTCTTTCACCAGAATTCAGCCAGAGTATCATGCATTTCAAGGACAAGAGTATGGACTCTTTGTCAGACAAGAAAAAGGGAAAAGCCTCGCAGAAGGGGAAGTCCTCAAAGAAGTAGGACTTGATATCATGTGCCTCTCTTTTAGGGTCAAAAGCTAGGTATGTTTCTGTAGTTTGATCTGGATGTTCATGATACTTTATTCTCTGGGCTCGCACGCTCATTGAGCTTCAGTGCTAAATACCTGGTTTGTTTCTTCAAGATTAGTTCATGTAATTGCATTGACAATATTCATGTAGTTGCGCTCGTCAATGAATTCAGCATCAGCACTCCCATTTTGTTAGTCATTTTCTAAACTATCATTTTCACTGATTTTGTTTGCCAACAAATTCAACTGAAATTAGCATCCATACTTGTTCATACTATATTATCTTGAGGTTTTGTACCTTAGATTATTAAGTAACGTGACTCATATCATTTTTGTGTATTTATGTCACTAATCGATTTTGATTCATACAACATTTTACCCAAAAGCTACTACAGTAGAATATTAATCAGTAATGTAATCTAGGAGTTGTGGTTCTAAGCTAAAACATTCTTTGATTGAAATTTACCTTTTGAAGCTTCTCTTTTTCTTGTGTGATGTGGTTTAGGAACGGAGGATCACAAACTGTCAAATGGACAGCCAGATGAAGTTTATAAATTTGGGTTTTAACTCAGGTCATCAGGAGGGCGCGGATACTTTTATAGATTTTGCTAATAAGAGAACAATCTCAATTCTACGCAAGGTTGTTTAGGATCGCAATGTTGATTGTACGGTTGCAAGATGCACAATTTCTAGAAACTTGTCATTTTTGATGTGTGTTGTTTATAAATTGAACAATTAATATGTTACGATTAGAATTTAGAAGACCATTCACCTACATCGTTTTAATTAGAAACTCAAATATATATATATATATATATATTGCATTGTCAATCTTTTTGAAAGAAATTCTTGCCAAAACATTTCAATTCAATTAATTTTTCATATTCTTATCACAATTTCCGAATTTCGATCAGTATTCTTCAAAATTTCAGATTGCATCAGTCGCTCCTCACTTGCATCACCTTTCGTTGGAAAACTTCATAACAAACACTTCAAAATTATGATTTGAGTTCCAGCAAATGGTTTGCGCAAAATTATGATTTGAGTTCCGGCAAATGGTTTGCACAAGAGAAAAATCAAATATTGTTTAATGATACACGAAAATTTCAGAACCGAATAAAATAACTCCACGTTTTTCGTGTATTTTGATTTTCTTTTATAGATGCAAAAAAAATGCTGTGGATTCGTGCTCAATTTATCGAACTAAACCAAAAAAAAAAAAAAAAACAACCAAAATGCAACACGTTACCACCCCAGTAGGGGGTGTTTACCAATACTCACCAACCGTTGTTTCTTTGAAGAATTCTTCAAACGCATGTTTCACTCTCCCATGTAAAACTCGTAGTCAATTGTAGTGTGGGTGGTCATGATGTAGAAAAAAACCAGCAAGAAATTCTCTGTACAGGCTCCTCACTTTGATCCATTAGCTGCATTTCGCTTGGCTTCCAGTGTTGTGCCCTCTTTAAGTGCTACTTGAGCTTCATTCTCCATCCCAATCTTGGCGAGAGCCACCGATTGAAGATATGATGCAATTTGCCATACCGGAGAGATAATTTGTGCTTGCATTGCATCATTCAGAGCTTCTTGAGGCATGTCACTTATCAGATAGCATAAACTGCGCCGTGCATAGACTGTTGGAGAAACCATTGTTCCAGCATCAATGAACTGCATGTAAAAAAATTCCATCTGAAGTCTTGTCCCAAAGAAAGACCTTACTGAAGTCAAATAGTGCAGCTAATTAGGATGTCCTTATAGGTTGTCCCAAAATGATTCCTTCAGTGATTTAACTCGAGAACAGAAAACTTGATTTTTTCCCCCCAATCATGAACACCATAGAATATTGATGCAGAATGCTGAATTTAAAATCAGAAGCGTTATCATTCATCATCATGAAAAGATCACATTAACTATGACAAAAAGGTCTAGTCGATATCCACAATAATAAGAAATCCTGTCTAGAGTTATAACTTGAAACACACAATTTCACAGCAACACCGGCATGTTTGAAAAATAGTGTGCCAAGTCCAACTGTACATAACAAGAAATCTACCTGTGTGTAACACTCAATAGCAAGTCGGAAATCTTTCTGCCGGAAAGCAACATCCCCCTTTTTCTTACAATTTAGCGAGTCCTGCATTTGATCAGTCCACATTTGGAATGATAACTGCAGTATAAGAAAGAAAAATACACAAGTCAATATCTCAAGGACCATAAAATGATGTTCTCATAAATTACTGATTGATGAACATGAGAAGATATTGGACAAATTAATGAAAAATATAAATAAATTGTGGGGGGAAAATAAGTCTATCCAGCAAGTAAAATAAAATTTAGTAGAGGAACCTCGTTTGTCACTCCTTCATCATCTTTATAGCCAATATTTTCCAGAACTTCATGTATAGCAGTCAAGTCTTTTCTTGAGCATGCTTCACCAAGTGGGGAGAATGAAGCGAAAGTAGTGCTGTGTGGAACACCCATCAAGACATGTGAAGGAACCTAGAAAGCAATGGAAAGATATATATATTAAAGCAAGACAAAACCAAAAGGAAATAGTAGAACCATCTGCTCACAACACACTGGTGTCATGTTTTTCATGCACACGTTTATGTTGATATGAATGAAGAAGAAAGATTGCATTTTCTGTGCAGATTGAAATTGTAATTTTCAGATTGAAATTACTGAGTTTTCCCAAAAATTTCAAGAATCATCAAAGGCTAACTGAAAATTCTCCATTCTCCTCCTCACCTTATAACAAGCTCTCAAACAAGGAGAGGTTTCAACGAAAAATTCACTTCCTGCCCCTCTATTACACCCAATCCATGCACACCCAAATGGAGAGCCATAAGCAGTTAAAATATAAGAGGTTGGCTCTAGGTTTAAGGTATAACAAGAAGATAAAACTTGAGTAAAATACTTTTTAGGTTATTGTATAAAGACATATGAACTTCATGCCGACTTAGTAATACATCATTGTCTCCTTTAAAAATGTTTGCCCACATGCAATATTTTAATTGAAAAATGATAGCAAAGATAAAGTGAACCAAAGCTTTTCCACTATTAGTCTAAGAAGTTATGCATAACTGCCACATGATAATCATATACCAACCTCTGTTTCTTTCTGAAGTGGCGCCAATGCGGCCACAAGTGACTTGGGATTTGGCCGTTCTCTAGGTTCATACTGTAGACATCGAGATGCCAAGCGTACCAACTCAGTTCCATCATCATCAGAAAACTGTCCTTCCACAAAAGAGTCTGTCAGCAGCTGAAGATTTCTGTCCCGAATCAAGTCAAGGGCCTGCTCCAAAATTTCTAATAATATGACGTGCCAATTTACATATAATATATAAAAACATAAGCACTGGAAATGATATAAATATGAATAAATGGAATCTTCCACTAAAGGGGATTAGAAGTACATATTTTTGTAATTTAAAATTAGCAGATTTTCTTTTTGAATTATTCTTGCTTTTGAAGGGAGGCAGGGGGCACTTTTTCCTTTAATAACAATGACTTACATGGCTTGGGGGGATGTGCTTCCCGCTAAGAAGATCAAGTAAAAGAGTACCAAAGCTATAAATTACACTTTCTGGAGTTACTCTCCCTGCAGAAGAAAGAAGAGCCATCATAATTTCTGAATCACCCAACTCAAAACAATTAATGATTGTAAAATTTCCAAAGCAACACAAATTTTGTTTTGCAATAATGAAGCTGAACATGAAGCATAAAACCAAAAGTGCACAGAAGTGTTCCACACCAGTTCTCAGATACTCTGGTGGGGTAAAGGCCAAATTCGTGCTGTAACTTTTCCCGACCCTATTATTCTTCATGAGGCCAAAACTTGAAAGCCTAGGATTACCATCCTGCAAAATTCTAGCATATAATTTGCATTAATCTAACAATGTTACATATGTATTATAAAATGGGTAGGCAAAAAACTTACCTCATCAAAAAGAACCCTATATGCATTAAGGTCGTGATAGAGAGCACGCCCTTTACTTGTGCAGTATTCTAGAGCTTGCACAATATATAGAACGACTCTCAATCGCATTGCCCATTTCATAGGTTGTGTTTCCCCTAAGGAAGAGACTTGACTATGTTACTTCACGCTCATGAAATTTAAACGTACGAAGATGTAAAGCAATACTGTGACAATAAATCATGACAACATAGAAACTGGGCTGCAAGAGGCAAACTGCAAACACTGTTTAATATAAATTTTGCCTAGCATGTAATTTTTGACAAATTAACTCCGCTTATGTTTATAACCGATCCCAATCTTGGGTAAAGGAGGAAAGTTGTGTTAGACCCTCAATAGCCAACGTAAAACTTTGTTAAATCTCACATGTATATGGACAATAGATGCTTTCGTTATTGTTGTTGATGTAATTTTTGACAGATTGATCTAAACCTATTAATTTGTTCATACATTGTCCTAAAAAAGGGGGAAACAACTCTTCCCACTGATTAGAAATATAGAAAACTATAAAAGTGAATTTGCAGCATAAGTCCATTCTGAAATAATCACAAAATTAGTTCCAACTTCCATGTTGATAATCACAACATGCTTCACGAACTTTTTAAAGCAATTTGAGATTGCCCCAGTCCAGACGATAACAGACAAAACATTAACCAAAAAATGGACAATCCCATAATAACAATAAGAGAAAAAAGTTAGAACTCTGGAGGTTCAGATACCAATCCCATATCCTACACCAACGGGGCCCAGCATAGGCACAGCAGAAAGAAGATAACAATAAAACCATAAATCATAAATTGATGAGATATCAATTGCAAGTCCAATAGTAAAATAACAAATGAATGGTTAAACTGAAAACATGCCGTATGCATTGAAGGAAATCTTACAATGAAAAAGGTGTTTGGCAAGTGTTTCATTTGGCATATATTCAGCCACAAGCAACCTCTCATCACCTTCACAACAACAACCAAGCAAATTTGCCAATCTTTGGTTACGGAGCTGACCAACTGACCTTGCCTCCTCCTACAGTTAAGGAGAAAAAAAACGTATTCTAAACAGTCGGAACTGAAAAGGAGCAGAAGGATATAACAGCATCATTGGTGTGCACCACTTGCTTTAGAAAAACTCTTAAAACTGAAATTTTTTTGCAGCAATGATCAACTTCTTCGAGAGAAAACTTGCTTAAATTGCACGAGCACAATCCCATAAATGCAAATTGACCAGATAAAAAAAGAACTTGGATGAGTGCCCAAAAGCCCTCAAGAAAAAGAAAGACCAAAGATAACCCTCAGGGCTATCCTTCACTGAGATCTTTACCCAAAAAGGACAGAAAGAGTTGTATATGAAAAGTGTTTGTGGCCTTTGTTTGTGAGTGTGTGGCATCAATATCTTAATACCAAGTGTTAGGGAAGTGCAAAGTCATGAACAGAAGAAATAAAATATCTTAATACCAAGTGTTAGGGAAGTGCAAAGTCATGAACAGAAGAAATTCGGTTAGTAGTGCGCTTGAAGATTTTATTTTGAAAAACAGAACATTTACCAAAATTTGGCTGGCATCAGGCCAAGCATTTCTATTGAACCGCTTAACAGCAATTCTCATTTGATTCTCCAGCTTCCCTTATAAACAACATTTGGAGCCTTCTCCCCATGTTCAGATACAATATTCTCCACAGCAAAACCAGATGTTGCATTCTTAAGTTGCTCAAATGTATATTCACGGAATGCAGGCCAGTTATTGCCGTCACTTGTATCCTCGGTAACTGGATCAATCATTTAAACAGTTATATAAGCCATAATTTCTTTTCATAGCAGAAAGCTAAGTAGTCTTACTTTTACCCACCAGCATCAAGAGCCTCAAGAGCAGATGCCTTCACTTGTGAATTCACACAGCATGGAATGAGTGTGGAGCACTGAATTCCCATTTTCTTGTGTCAGAGTTAGATCAGAAGTTACAAACAATCTTCCACTTTCAGAGATGTAACTTTCTTGAATATAATCAGAAGTGCTAGGTTCCAGTCCAGCCAACTCCACTTGGAGTATATAAACCTTGAGCGCTAGTACAAGATACCTCAATAATGTGCTTTAATAATTGGTCACATATGCTGGAGCCAGAAACCCCTGTAAATTATCATAAAGCTCTGCTTCAGTGAAGGTAAGAGGTAGACCAACAAACTCAATAGTATGATCTTGATTAACATTGGGGTTATAGTAGAATTTTCTTTAACCAATTCCATTCAACTAATGTTCAGGAGCACTGCCCTCAGGAACCTTTAAAATCAGATGCCCTCAGGAAGGATTAGGAAGGAAACAAAGATCAGAAAGGATCAGAAACTGCTTCAATTACAAACAAGTGCAAAAAGGAGCTTCTTCTTTTTTTTTGGGGGGGGGGGGCTGATTTGAAAGCTCCTGCACATTCTAAAACATTAAGTATGCAAGCATTCGAAGAGCAAGAACCCCAATCTAGATGCTCTTAAATGTGATAACCTACCTACTAGTAGTTTGTAATTATTAAAATCAGATATGAAGATTTAAACGCATAAGATCATATGACAACGCCTAACTTCCAGTATCTTTCTTAGTATCTCGTAGCTTATTTATTTCCTTTTTTAGAGTCAACTTAGAGGGTGACTTTAACGACCACAAAAAATGCTACTGAAGTTTTAAAACTAAATACTAAATATCCAGTGAAGCAACACTTTCCAACCTACCGAAAAAGCTACTTCACCTTTAAGCTTCTTCGTTCTTCTCCAATGGCAAAGCAAAAAGTTGATCCACCTTGAGCTGATAACATGTAAAATTACCTTTTCTTATTTTCCTCTTTCTCGATCGAATCAATGCCTTTACAGGATCCACATTTTCAGTCCTAAACCTCGTTCGTCATCCGCAAGTTCAAGTCTCTTGCTCGATCTAATCAAACCCCCTGATCTTTCTCTTCTCTGAAAATAAAAATTTCCAAAACCCGAAACAATTCTTCACCCCCTTCGATTCCAACAGATCAAGTAAGATATAAATTTATATATTACATAAATTAAAATCAGTTAAGGAGAAAAAATGTTGGTTGAGAAGCTCAAAGCTTAAGATCTATGAGGCAGCAGCAGAATCAGAAGATGGTGACGATGATTGATGATGCCAAGCTTTTGCATTTTCTGCATTAATTTTTTTTCAATCTAAAATAAGAATAAATAAACCAATTATTACCGACACGTTGCAAATATATATTCAAAGATCTAGATTCTGCATATTTCGTGTACCAATTTATTAATTATTTGTTGTCATAACAGCTGGCGAAATTTTTTTATAAAAACATATAATGTAATCTCAAAATATTAAATTAATAATAATTAAATTTTAATAAAATTTTAAAAAATAAATTAAAAATATATAATCATAAAGTCAGAAGTTTTAATTATAAATATGCATTTAAATATTAAACCTAATTTTTAAATTGGAACAGAAACTTTCATTTATAAATATTTAAATTAATGTTTATAATATATTTAGAAATTTTATTAAATATTTAATTGTCATTACTTTAAATTTTGAGATTTATGTGTTACTTCTTCTCTTTTTCGTTTGAGGTTATCTTCGGCATATGATTTTATTTTTAAAATTTTATGTTAAGGATCCTTATAATATATTACTTTTTCCATCTCAAATTATAAGATATTTTAAAAAAAATTATCATCTCAAAATACAAGACATTTTGAGAAGATTAAGATTTTATTAAATGAACTTATTCTAATATTACTCTTTCTTTATTTAATACTAATAATTAAGTGTAAATTTAAGGTTATTAAATAAAAGATATTTTTAGAAGTTTACATTTTTATTTTAAAAAATAAAGTTGCTAAGTATATTTAATAAGATTTATTAATATGTTAGATTTTATTTAAAAATATTTTATAATATGAGATGGAGAAGTATATTTTATTGCAGGATCCTCATCATTCTCCTACATTTAAGTAAGTACACAATCAAAATAAAACCCAAATATGAAAATCTATTATCAATATCAAAGTACCAAAGCTCAAATGAGTGGGATAGCAACGTTAATAAAAAAAAGTTTAAATAGACTGAGTATTACATCATTTGTGATTTATTTAATTAAAATGTTTTAATTATCTACATAAAATATTTTAATTAATGTTAGACTAACGTGTCATGTTATTTGTAATAGCAACACTAACAAGATTTAGGGCTACTAATAGTATGTAGATTCCATGTCACAAAGTTGTAAGAATCAATGGAAAGAAAAGAATTGATATGATTGCATTTGAAAGTTTACTCAGTCATATATATGAAAATGTTGAGCCAAAAAATTCATGTTTTACGGAATAACAACACAATCCCATTCCCTCTTTCAAAGCATTGGAGCTTCCAAATTCGCCCAAAATGCAACAACAGAGCAAGCTCCCTTCTTCACCCAAAGTCAGAGCTATTTTGGATGAATGAGATGTTGAGAAGACTAAAAATCGACACCATCCTCATCTGTTGTCAATCCCATGCTTAAACTCAAAATTGCCTGGCAACTTTCTTCCCTGTCATCCTCTCTTTCTCCATCCTTGTCTTCAACTTTCACAGATTTGGTAGAGTCGATAATTCAAGCGGGTCGGGCTTATTTGGGTCTGGCTCAATTCAGGCTGGGCTTATTCAGATTGAGTTTAAAGAATCCTATTCTTTCTAAAAAGCCCATATAGCCAAGCCCGGCCCTAACGCCTTCAGACTTCGGGCTTATTCGAGTCGGCCCGAATACCCGAAACTTTTTTAAAAATATTTTTTATTTTTAATCAATTTTAATTTTTAAATAATTTTATTAAGCATAACATATTATTTTAACTTGAAAGGAATAAAAAAATAATAACTTATTAACTTTATAGTTAAGTATTTAAGTAGCTTTGTTACTGATTTGTTGTATTATATGCAATTTATTCATGAATATTTCCTTTACTTGTAAATTAATATCTTATTTATTTAAATATTGCCCTTATCATAGTTATATAAAAATATTTATATATTTTAATTGAATTATATTATTTTAATTATGAGCAAGTTAATCTCAATTCAACTACGGTTAAACCATTAATTTAAAATTATTATCCTAATTAGTTCAAAGTTTTTAATAACTATTGGATAAACTATACTTTTTATTTTTAAGAATATGAAAAAAATAGTCGTCATTATATTATATAAAACAAAATTATTTAATTATGGGCAAAATACTATTTTTTTGAATTTTTTTCTTTAAATATTTTACATTGTTTAAGTCCTATATACAAAAAGTATTTACTTTAGTTCATTCTTAATTTTTAACTAAGTCTGGCATAGATAATAATTAAATAATTATTTAAAAATATTATTTTATTTATTATGCTTGTTTAGTAGTAGAGCCAAAAATTCGTACATGTCTAAATTTTATTTTTAAAATTATTTTTAATTTAAAATTAATTATCTTATTTTATAAAAAATATAAAATATAATTTTTTGGACAAGTATATGACTCAATTTTTTTTTGAACAAAATTGAGTCTTAAAATATAAAAATTAATATTAAAATATATTTTAATTATTATTATGAGATATTTTATTTGATTAAAAATAATAAAAATGGGAAAATATAAATATTTTTATTTTTTAAAAATAACTATAATAATACACTCAAATATATGGTATTTTAAAATAAAATGATATAAAACTTGAAAAATAATTAATATTTATTATATTATATTTTTTAAAAAAATTATTTTTTTCCTATTCTAGTATTTAAGCCAAGCTCGAACCTGATTGGGCTTAGCCCAAATTTTCTCAAACCTATTCGGGCAGCTCAAATAGGCTTGAACAATAAAAAAATATTTTTTTTGGATTCGGGCCTAAATTTTTCGGGCGGGTTCGGGCTGGCTCATCTAGCTTGGTTCAAATTACCGTCTCTAAGATTCAGTCCTTTGCTGCCGTCAACACCATGCTCAAACTCAAAATAGCACCAGTGACGACTAGCAGCATGAGCTTGATGCTGAAACTTCTGAGTTTCTCCATTTTCATGGGTTTTGAATTTTGACATTGATTATGGTTTTCAGATTCGAGTTTTATTTTGATTTCTTAATTTCTTAAATCTAGGAGGAAGATGGAGATTGATGCACGTCAGAAAGTCTGTAGGTTATTATTATTATTATTTTTTACTTCCATGGGTTTTGAATTTTGACAATTAAGGGCATAATTGTCATGTCACGAGGAATTAAAATGTACAAATAGTTCTTAGGACTAAATAATAATAATTGTCATATTTTGAGGTATTTAATTGTTATTTATTTATTTTGAAAATATTTTATTATTATTTTTTCTTGTTTTACCTACAAAAAGAATTAGATATGAAGCTCGTCGAATCAAATAATTTACAAAAAAGGCACATTCTACAACATCCTAATTCTTAAACATGAATTTAATTGAGGAAATTGAGGTATCATTGGGGATTTAGATTGATTGATATTATTTATGAGGTCTAATTAGATAATAAATTTGTATTTGATGTTATTTGAGGATAATCATGTAAATAGACAACAAATTATTACTTAAATTGGGCCTAGACTGATATAGTGAGATTTAATAGGGTCCAAATTAGGTATTGGATCAAGTTGAGTTTAAATTGTAGGACTAAATTTAGTGCCTTGTTTTTGTGCAATGCACCATGGCGCATGGTGCCTTTGCTACAATTCATAGCATAAAACATGTACTTAATAGGTGTTTGAAAAATCCAATAGAAGAAGGGAGAAACAGTTAGGGTTTAAGCAAAAATTGAATGTTTTGTTAGAGTTTGATGGCTAACATTGATTGTGCATGAATTTGAGGCCTAATCACTTGAGGTAACCAATCTAATCTCACTTCTAGCTTCTACTCCTCTTATGTAGCTCGTTTTTCATAGTGACTAAGGCTAAGGTTGCATTTTTATGAGTACCCAGCCCTAGGGTTTGAATCTTATAGGAGTTTTAAGGTTAAATAAGTATGACTTAAGTTGCTTTGAGATTGCTTATGATATTGGATAGGCGGAATTCAAAACCCTAGGTGTGGTAGGATGATTTAATGATGATTTGGGTTATGTAAGGGTTAAATGAGGGATGAGGAGGCATGATAAGGATGATTATGAGTTTATCTAAGGTTTTAAATAGTGGTAAAAGTTTTGGATTAACTAAGTTAATTAACCTAACCCTAAAGTTAGGGTATGATTAGCATGATAACACGTTAATTAGTGTTAATTAATACTTGATTAACTATAACTAGCCTTATAATGTTTGTAGATTATGGTAGAAATACCGAGAAATGTGAAAGTGCTCTTGTGCGGGGAGCTTTAATTACAAGGAAGTAAGGTAACCAATATCAATATGTGATCATGTGTGTTTTGTGATTTATTTTGTGTATTTGTTTTGTTTGGAATTAAATGTGTTGAGATAAGCATGTTTTATTGTTTGAAAAATAATTGCCAAGTGGGATGATCTTGCATAAGTAAATATATGTGTTTTGTTCAAAATTGAATATTGTTTGAAAGTATATAACTGTTTGGTTATGTTTTTGTCTGATTGTTTGAAAGCATAACATGTCAAGATTGTTTGAAAAATATGTATTGTATTGGTATTTTGCTTGAAGTCGTTATTCTATCACATAGTAACCTCTTATTGAATCTAATGAGTGGTTGTTAGCTTATGCCAACCCACCTTTGATAAGGTAATTTGGTTATAAGCATGAAGATAGGAGGAATATAAGGTGTTATCATACTAAAATATAAATTGTTCAGTTTTGTTTGGATATCTAATGTTTGAAATTTCTCTTGTATGCCCCACTTAATAATCACATGATAGGTTGCATTACATCCAAGGTTGTATATTAATCTTGGTTATTGGAGCTTTTAAGTTTCGCTTTTCGTAGTTAACATTTAATAGAAAATAGTTCAGCCAAAAAAGCACTGGAAGTATAATGGGTGTAGGTAGACATCACTTGGCCATGTTGGCCCTTTTCGATTTACATATACATGTGTTTGCCAACCCCAAGGCATTGATTTGTACTTATAAACATATGACTCGATTTACTTGCAAAACTTGTAATTAATTTACATGAAGTTGATTTTTGTAACATTCATAACTTTCTAAATCATGAATTGTGATTTCTAA